TTTTTCAACCTGTAATTTTTCAATGTCGAAGCATGGGTATCTCTTTACGTTTCCTTCCAGCTAACTACGTTACATAGTTCTGAAGAGAGATCACTTAAAATGTTTCCTAGACATTTAAAAATGGGAGTATAATAATAAGTATTAATCACTAGTGAGGCATTCATACATTCCTTTATATATTTACCATTTATTGAGTATGTAGTATAAGAAGAGTAGGAATCTACCCTTTAGAGTCATCCAGCCCCATACCACGACTACAGCAAGAGTCAAAGATAGGTACCCTTTCACAAACGTCCTTCCATTTCAAATACTTGGCTCTCACCTTGTATGTTACCTTGGCTTGGTAACATTTGTATGACAGATCCATGACTTAGATTGAATGCAACAGCTGAGTAGAAGCACTCACTTGCTCTATTGTAAAGAAAAACAAAAGCAACAGGTATATAGCTCCATTTTGAGATGGGTGATGATGATCACTGTAATCAGCAGAACAGAAGCTGGAACCTTCAAAGATTTGGGATCTTGGGACAACAGTATAGTAAGAGAAATATCCAGGCATCTGCTGCCCCTCTGGTGGATTAAGAGAGGTTAAAAAAAATATTTCCAATGAACTGCCAGCAAGGTTGCTTACAATACTGGCTACTGCAAAGTTTTGCAACTCTTGTAGGCTTGTGTAACTAGATAAACCTGAAATCTACTTAGTACCCTTGCTTTGGAAGAGGATTTCATATCATTGCCCCAGTAAAACTACCATGAGCTGTAGTGAGGAGTCTTCTTGAAAAGGAATATCAAAACTACTGCATATACAATTTCTGGGATGTTGCACACACATGTTCTATGGTACTAGCTCAGTACTTAGTCTCCCTGAGAACTACACTTGGCTCAGTGAAGTGACTGTGATAAAATGTCATTGAGCACTTACACTGTAGGGGGAGGTGATGCAAAATACAGGGGAAGGGAAAGGTCAAAAGGGAGACCCTGTTGGGCAGCGGTGGCACTCACCTTTGATCCCATCATTTGGGAGGGAGAGGCAGGCAGATCTCTGAGTTTCAGGATAGCCTGGTCTACTTAGTGAGTTCCAGGACAGCCAGGGCTACACAGAGAAACCCTGTTTTTTTGGGGGGGAGGGAAGGGGGGGAGAAGGGAGAGAGGAAGGAAGGGGGGAAGAAGGGAGGGAGGAAGGGAGGGAATCCTCTCTGGCTTCTTGTCTTACCAAACGATGACAGTTTCCCCTTTGTGCTCTTGCCATCATGATGCTATCTACAATGCTGCCTTTATAAAAGCCCCAGTCGGTGTTGCTGCTATCTCTGCACCTCCAGAAATGCAAGCTCAAGAAAGACCTCGACTTTATCAAGGGAAAAGAAAAGGATAGCGAGATCAACACACTTCCCCTCTGAGATGAGAAGCCATGTAAATTCAGAACTGTCAGTCACTAGTGCTGGTCTCGAACCTCTTTTCATTCAGGGTGTGGGTGTCAGTAACAAGGAGAGGGAAATTTTGCTTCTATGGATGCACACTCACAAGGGCATGTTGAGGTAGCTAAAACAATGTCCCACCTCTGGGCTGCTGCCCTGTCTTGTACTACACGGTCCAGTGAGAAACTTTCCTTGGGAGTGGATGTGACATACTCAGCTCACATGTCTCCACACTTCAGCTCAAAGATTTTTTTTTTAGTATAACATAACAAAGGTTTATTTATTAGGGGATAAGCCTACAGAAATAGTAGCAATCTGAAGTCCTCTGAATGTACTGGGAACTGGAACCAAATCTAGCAGCCAAGAGAGCTGCACACGCTTTTTGTCCTTATTTTTAACGCATGAGACCATGCCCAAAGTTGGCCAGTAACTTAAAAGCTATTGGCTGAAGAAGTTCTCACAGCACCTCCCCCTTTTGTCTAAATAAGAGAGTTCTAAGTCTAATACAAATCTATATACAATAAGAACAGATATCAAGTATTGTCCAAGGAAAAAGAAGAGGCAAAAACATATATAAAAATTAGAATTACAACCAGCATGAACAGCATCAAACAAGAAATATGTTTCGATAGTTACCCTAAGGAGTCTAAGTCTTATATTAAAAATGACTTGGCAAAGTAATGAGAGGAAAGTAACTATGACTATCTAGTCTTTAACCCCATCAAAGACCTGAGAAGGGAAATACTACTACTTGAGTAAGCAGGACGTGCAATCAAGCAACTTCCAAAAGGTACAAGAAACGGCAGAGACAACTGGCTATCTGGGCAATCACTCAAAGCCTCATTTGCAAAGTTGAGGCAATCAACTTTAGCTAAAGCCTGGAGTATCTGACAGACCATTTTTAGAGGCAAGAAAATTTTAAAAAAACATCTTACCCTGTCTTGGGAAGGTTTGGAAGTCTTTTTGCTTGTATCTTGCTTGTCCAGTCTGGATATCATGCATTTTGTCAGTAGTCGAGGCAGAAGCAGTTCTTTGCCCAAAGACCAGTTTTGACAAAGAGAAAACAATCAACATTGTCTCAGGAATAGATCAGTGCTGCCAGGAGCAATCAATCGTGTCTCGCGTGAACAGAATCCTAAAGGTTATTTAAATACCATATTCTATAATTCTTTGAAGTGTTTGAAAAACTAATTAAAAAAAGTAGAAACAGCTGGTCATAGTGGCACACCCTTTAATCTCAGCCCTAAAAAGCCAAAGGCAGATGGAGCTCTGAGTTTGAGGTCAGCATGGTTTACATAAGTGCGTCCCATATCAGCTCGGGCTCCATAGTGAGAGCCTGTTTCAAAAGAAGAAAAAAGTGGAAACAAAGAATCTAGAGAGAATTCACGGGCTTTGGCTTATGGTTAAATGTTAAACACCTGTATTGTCAGGATACTCAGGAGAAGAGATTAAGCACATAGAAAACCTATAAATGATGGTGGGCGTGGTGGTACACACCTGTAATCCCTGTACTTGAAAAACTAAAGACCGTGAGTTTGAGGCCAGACTGGTCTACATAACAGACCTGTCTCAAGAAACAAAACAAAATAAAGTTAAACAGCAAACATATTTAAGGAAATAATAGCAGAAAATTCTCTATTCTTTTTTTTTTTTTTTTTTTTTGGTTTTTCGAGACAGGGTTTCTCTGTGGCTTTGGAGCCTGTCCTGGAACTAACTCTGTAGACCAGGCTGGTCTCGAACTCACAGAGATCTGCCTGCCTCTGCCTCCTGAGTGCTGGGATTAAAGGCGTGCGCCACCATCGCCCGGCTAAAATTCTCTATTCTTGAGAATGACTCAGGCACCCAAAATCAGGAGGCTTTTATGTAAATATAACCCCAAGTACAAACAGCCAGAAATGATCTTCCCCATAGCATGCTGTTACCAAACTTGTCAAATCACAGTTCGACATGTAAAATCTGCAAGAGAAGAGTCCCAGGTTACACTTAAAGGCAATTCCAACAGAGTCTACTTGATCCTTTAGCAGAAACTTCTTCCAGACAAGAAGGCAACAAGATGATGATAGGAAACAAGTCCCAAAGAAAGTAACAGCCATCTAAAGTTGTCATAGCCAGCAAAGCTACAGTGGTGGTTTGAAAGAAAATGGCCCCCATAAGGGAGTGGCACTATTAGCAGGTGTTGCTTTGTTGAAGGAAGTGTGTCACTGTGGGGGTGAGCTTTGAGGTCACCTGTGCTCATACCATGTTCAGTGTAACACATTCACTTCCTGTTGCCTATAGATCAAGATGTAGAACCCCTAGCTTCTTCGCCAGCACCATGTCTGCCTGCATGTCCCATTGTGATAATAATGGACTAGACATCTGAAACTGTAAGCTAGCCCCAATTAAATGTTTTTCTTTAGAAGAGTTATCGTGGTCATGGTGTTTCTTCACAGCAATAGAAACCTTAAGCAAGACAGCTACCCCTCAAAAATTAAAATGAAAGAAAGACCCTCAAAGTCAAGGGAATCTGAGGAAATTCATGACCACTCAACATATCAAAACTTAAAAAGGACATAACAAAACATTTACTAAGAAAGTACTTTATAGCAATGGGTACCTACATTAAAAAACAAGATTTCAAATAAAAAAGCCCAATGATGAGGTTGGGTATTTAGCTCAGCAAGCGCAAGGCCCTGGGTTCTTTCCTCAGCTCTGAAATCAAAAGAAAAGCCCAACAAGTCAAAGACTTAGAAAATCATAAATACATTAACTCCAAAATTTGTACAATAAATAAAGTTCAAAAAAAAAAAGTAGAATAAAGCTGATTGCACTGGGTCCTTGTTTCAGTTCCTGCCTTCATTTCCCTTGATGCACTGGGATGTGAAAGTGTAAGCAAAATAAACCTCTTTCCTCTCCAAGTTGCTTTTGATCATGGCCTTACCATGCGGACGTACACACATAAAAGACCAACGGCTGAAAACGGATCCAACAATACAATTAGGTGCTCCTGGATTGTATTCTTCTTCTCTTTTGCTTGTATATGTCAAAATGAAGAGTTTGGGAAGGAGATACAGTAAACTGTAGGAGGCATTATTTGGTTCAAGATAACAAAAAAAAAAAAAAAAAAAAAGACACAATGAATTCATAGCCCAAAGAGAAAGATTACTACTATGATTCTATGCATCGTTTTATAAAAGAAAACTGTGGAGCGAGAGGTACAGACCTAGAAAACTGAACAGATGTCAACGTGGCAAGCTGAGAGTTGTATCAACTACTTTTCTATTACTGTGATGCGTCGTCATGACAAAGACAACTTCAAGAAGGGTTTGCTTGGGCTTAGGGTTCCAAAGGGCTAACAGTCCATTGCCCTCACAGGGAGGAGGCACGGCAGCAGGCAGGTGTGGGGAGCTAAAGCTTACATTGTGAAGTGCAAGGCCGAATTAGACAGCAAATCATGGCAGGCTTCTCCCCGGAAACACATTTCCTCTAGGAAGGCCATACTTCCCCAAACAGCACTGCCAACTGGGGACCAAATGTTCAAATGCCCAAAAATATGGGGGGCATCCCATTCAAACAACCACAAGAGTGATCTGAATATTACATACAAAACGAGGGAAAGAGAATAGCTGTCTGCTGGTGACATAGGGTGGATAAAGATATGGAATAGCTCCAGCATGGAATGGCAAAGGGAAGTGACAAGGAGATTGCAAGACTTGACAAGTCTTGACAGACAGCTGAGGCACTGACTCGTCTGGGAACTGCTCTTCTTTTTGGCTATTAACACTCTAAGTTTATCTCCTGCCAAGAACATACCAGATGTGGACTGTTTGATTTTATATATCAAAAAGGCACAGTTTCTAAAACAATGGGTCGCAAACCCATTTAGGGTCATGCAATTGAATATTGGAAGTCAAAAAAAAAAATCCTTTGGTAGCAATAAAAGGTTTTTGGGAAACATATAACATGCACTCTGAGCTGTGCATGTTACGACATGCAGTGCCAAAGTGTTGTATGTTGTGAACTGCAGTGTTTTCATTGCACATGAATGATTTTCTGCTCTTACAGTTTACTTGTGAAAAACAAAGAATAATATTTTCTACGATCATTCCTAGATATGTAAATGACAAATTCATGTATATTTAGACTCACAGAATGTCTGTAGAATGTTTGATTTTAAAAACTGCGAAGACTTGAATTTTTTTATTTTTTGAGAAGATTTACATGTGTTTGCTGTGCAACTCTGTGTATGCACGTGCACCATGTGTAAGTTCCCATGCCTGTGGTGGGCACAAAGGCTAGCCAGGGGCTGTAGTTATGGGTGTTGCAAGAAACCTGGCTTGTTAAGTGGGTGATGAGATCTGAATTCTGACCCTCATAACTGTGCAAGTGATACTAGCTACCGTCGCATCTCTCGAGTGCCTTCAAGATTTGTAAAATGATTTTTAGCTTGGAGTAAGTATAAAATTTCCAGCCATCTCTGAATGATCCTAAAAATACTTCTGTCATTTTGTACTACCCATTTATACAAAGCTACACTCTCACCAGTGACAATTCTAAGGTCAGAATAGTAATCAACTGTGAAAACCATTTAAGATGCCCTTTGTATTGAAATACAAAGATTCAGTCAGGTTTTAGCCTTCATGTAAAAGAAACACATCAATGCCACTGCACGTCCTGTATAGTACTGACGCTGTCTTAGTCAATGGAATAAAATGCATAGAGATTAGTGACCTTAACTAGCTGTGTGTTACAACCACAGCCCAGGAGTTATGTTCTTACCTTAGCTAAAAGTTAATAAAGATATTTTGGTTTGTAAAAGTTTTATTTCTAGATGTCTCTATTTTAACAAATACGTTTAAATACAAAATCAACAGATTAGTCAACAAAAGATAAAGTGCTCAGTTATCTAAATCATAGTATTCTGGAGAAAACAGCCTTGAGGAAAGCCTGAAAGATCCAACAGCACTCAGTGCAGTCCATTCTCCATTAACGATTTTCTGTTAAGTGTTCAAAATACAAGGGTTGTTTTCTGTGTCAGGGAAAGCAAAAATTTCCAAGCAGATTTGCCTCTGTTTAAAATCTCTGGGAATTGGGTTCAAATGACTTCATATGAAAATAATTTTGGTGACCAAGCTCTTTTTGTTTCAGACACTAAAAGTGGCAATGTTTGAAGAAGACAACATTTGACATCTGAAAAAACATCCCCAAATGGACTTTTCCTGTTTTCAGCCTATTTATAATTGTGCTTAGTTAGGACACTTCTGTTTTTGCAACCGTTGCTGTAAACATATTCTTTACTTTTAATTTTAAACATGCTGGTTTTATGTGCAACTTTTATCAGTTTCTTTCTTGGTAACTCTTTTTGGTCAGCAAGGCATTTTCTTAAACACATGGCTTTGAATCCAAGAGTATCTGAAAGAAATACTTTTTGGGTGGTAGGGGGGACCCATTCATCCACATCACTTTCAGGGCCCTCAGTAGGGCAGTGGTTGATCTCTGGTTGTGTCAAACCAGATACAACAGGACTTTTAGATTTCTGGCTAGGTGTTTTTACATTCTTTGGGAAGGTTGAGGTGGCTTGCTGTTTGTCATTTTCAGGAGAAATTTTTGTTTTCTTATAGTTAGCATTAAGATTTGAATATAACGAAGGCAATATTCTGAAAGTTCCACGTAAGCCATGAATTCTTTGGTGGAAGCCTGCAACTGGAGTTGACTGTGAACATGGAACAAAGTCTTGGCTTTCTGAAAAGTCAGATTCTGAGTCTGACTGAGAACTTGCTCTTGGACACCTTGATGTTGATATGTTCTGCAAGGGTAGTATTTGTGAAGGCTGGCTGCAGTTTTCACCTACAACACAGTTTTCAGAGCAAGATGCTTCCCAGGGTAACAAAACATCCTGTGACATTTTGGTAATTTCTGTTCCAATGTCCTTATTTTTAGCAACATCATCAAAAATATCAGCAGAAGCATTGTAGCTACCTTCATGATCAGCAGAGAAACTTTGTGTTAAGTTACTACTGATAGGCCTGTGAGGTATTCCTTTTGCGGTAATTGTATTTCCTGGACTACTGCAAAGAGTCTCTAAAGGATATGTAAGTTTCCGGCATATTGTAAAATTATCATCTTGGTTCTCTGACCATCTATAATACTGCTTATTTTCTAATTTCTGAAGATAAGAAACATCACTGTGTTTCTTAGAACACAAGCTTGCCAATTTCCCTTTCGTATCTGAACATGATTTATCTCCACATCCATTACATTTGTTCCTAAGATGAGAACAGTCACCTGTTGAGGTATTAGGTCTGAGTGAAATTTCATCCCTTTGTTGTAGGGTTCGCTTTTGGGTAACTGATGCTTCCATATCGTTTGGAGATGTAAAGAGAGTTGACAGGCAAGTATCCAGAAACCACTCGGAGATATCACTTCTATTACTGCCTGTAGAGACAGGCTCTGCTGTCTGGTTGGGTTTTGATTCTTTTTCAATTTGAGGACTTGGATTAGACTCACAGCTGGAAAAGAATGTCTCTTTCCTAGAGTTTTCTTTCATCATTGCTTGCGATGATCTTAAGCATAAATGAGGTGCATTCAAGGCTCCAGTGTTTCTCCTGGGCGTCACAGATAATCTGCTGTGGTCTGTGTGGAATTTATCAATGCCATTATCTATAATCTGTTTTCTGTCCTTAGGATCTGTCTCGGTGATAGCAATCTCATTTTCAACAACTTCCAGAAACTTGTTCAGGCTTTCAGAGAATGGTAGGTCATCCCAAATCAAGGTCTGGGAAGCACTTGGTGTTTCTTTAGATCTCAGTGATGACAATGAAAACGCAGATCTCTCTTGAAGGATGGAGGTAGTATTTATGTCTCGATGCTGGTAACATGGGATGTCATCCTGGGAATACTCACTTTTAACTGCTGCTTCACTGTAGCACTCTGCATTGTCTTCTTCAGAGGGGTCTTGCATTTGTGGAGGGAGTAAACTATTAGAGTCAGAGAGCCTAGTTTCACGAAAACCGGGGCAAACTGGACTCAGATGATCAGCTTGTAAACCAAAGTCTCCGCCCAACTTTCCTGTTGTATTATTCTTGTCCATACAAGAAACACGGCTCTGAGCACTCTGAAGGGGACCATGCCAGTTCTTAGCAGCGGTGGCTTTGGAAAAGGAGATGTACTGTCTGTCTTGGTTAAGAGTACCACTCACCATGGTTTGGTCTGAAGCTGAAATGTCATCACTAGCTGTTACTTGCGAATCAGTAGAAGTCAGTTCAAGAGATGGCTGCCAGAATCTGAGAAAATCATCTCTGCCACAGGACTCCAGAAAGCAGGATGTTTTCCCAGAGCTACACCTGCTGCTAAGATCACTGTCCGAGTGATCTAAAGAGAGCGAGTGACAGCTGCACTCCTGAGATTCGCAGTGCTGTTTCTTGAAATTGGAACTGTGCAAAAGCTGATTTAAGTAGTCAATGACAGTAAAGCCTGTCACATGTGGGCTGGGCAGAACCATCTGGGAAGCTACCAGTGTTCTGACTTCTCCTTTGTGCTGACAGCATGGCTGCAAGAAGTTACTGGGGTCTGAATCATGTTCACACACATCTCCAAAATTCTATGAAAGAAGTAAATGCATTTAAATGAGAAGAAGATAGCTTTCTCTGGGCACAAGGAGACAGGAATTTAAAGGCTAAATGAGAGTGATGCTAACTCCTTTAACTCCAAGCCCTGCACTGTTACTGAAAGAGCAGCACATACCAAAGACCATGGGCTGGGACACAGACTCGGTCCAGCAGCTACTAGGGACGCTGGGGTTCTGGGCACGTTATTTAACTCCTCTGTGCCTCACTTTCTCACTTATGAAATAAAGGCTGTTGATTAACAATAACAAAATTGGATAATACTTAGAAAATAGTATCTACTCTATAAATGCTGGTATACTATTATATTTGTAAAACAAGAACAGAAAAAAGAAAACTAAACTATGTAATATTTTAACAAAGTATAGTTCGTTAGCTCTTGGTTTCTCTGTCTTTGGGTTTTCCTTAGTGCCCATTTGGTAGTACTATATTCTCTTGACTACATTCCATTTAGAGTGTAATCAAATTTCCTTTTGCTCTTTTTAATTTAGAATACTTTCTTACTACTCCTTCAGAGTTAGTACATTTTAACTCTTTCTACTACTATGTATTTAAGTATATGTATTTAATTTAAGAACATTCTTCTTAATCTATTCTTTTTGAGAAAGGGCCTTATTATGTAGCCCTGGCTGGCCTGGAACTTGCCCTGTAGATCAGGGTGGCCTTGAATTTAAGAGATTCATCTGGCTCTGCCTCCCAATGCTGGGATTAAAGGTGTGTACCACCATACCAGACCTTAATATATTTTTTAATGTTTTTAAACAATACTTAGACATTTGTCTTTAAGGTTATTTCTCTCTTTTGATAGAAAACACAAAATTTTACTAAGTAATTTGTATAGAATTTGGAGTAAAAGAAAAGTAATCTTCCAGAACCAAAAATCTAATACCTTTTGCAATTCATAGTAAATTCCCCCCTTTAAAAACATTCAATTGGGCTTCTTTGGCTTTTGTAATAGGGAGTTGTAGCCTATAATATTGAAATAGATCTCATGCAAGCTATTTCTATAGTGTCATACGCATCTATCAACTCTAATATCTATATAACTTGTTCTAAAAACAACAAGGAGAGTTACAACCTTTTCATTTCAATGGGGATCAGAGGACATTCAAAGGAAGTTGATTTCAATTACCGTCACTCCAAAGACAAAGCTTTGCCCGACGAAACAATTCTCCACCGCTGTGGTCAAGAGGCTTTGCCTCTCACCACTGTCCAGGGTTTCTGGGGTTTCACCAGAATCCTCAAGGTACCTTTGAGAGAAAGTGTTCACAGTGATGAGCTTTGAAATTTTACTTTGCAGTACAATCAGGAGACACAATTATTTTAAAATATGGTATGAACCTTGTTAGTCACATACAGAGAGAAAGAAGTATGATGGCATGTTGGCCCTAGTAGGTTTCAAAAGTATAAAAAGAGAAAAAAACATTTAAAGCCATAGGAAAACCCAACCTATCTCGTGTGAATAAGATGCTGTGAAGTCTGGGGAAGGAGCGTAGAGGTAGACTGGCATGTGTAAAGTCTGCCCTAAGTTCTGGCTATAGCGCTGTGAGGGAAAAAAGTGCACGCTTACTTAATCTGCAGCCCTCAAAGGTACGCTAAGGAAAGCAGCAGTGGCAGTAACAGTCTTTCTGCTGTCCCTTTCCTTCAAATGAGTCTGCGCTAAGGTACAATGATACGAGCATTGATGACTAGGGAAAGAGGGGAGGGAAGACAGTGACGAGGAGAAAGTTCTTTACTTATATGGATTTTTATTTTTTATTTTATTTTTTTTTGGTTTTTCGAGACAGGGTTTCTCTGTGGTTTTGGAGCCTGTCCAGGAACTAGCTCTTGTAGACCAGGCTGGTCTCGAACTTATATGGATTTTTAAAGTCTTAAGGCTGGGTCTTATTAGGTCAATATGGTAGACTGAATGTAATTGGCCACCATAAGCTCACAGGGAGTGAGTGGCACTATTAGGAGGTGTGGCTTTGTTGGAGGAAGTGTTGAAGTCTCCTATGCTCAATCTATGCCCAGAGTCAGTTCACTCCCTGCTGTCTGTGGATGCAGATGTAAAACTCTCAGCTCCTTCTCCAGCACCGTGTCTGCCTGCACACCACCATGTCCTGCCATGATGATAACGGACCAAACCTCTGAACTGTAAGCCACCCCAATTAAATGTTTTCTTTCATAAGAGTTGCCACAGTCATGGTGTCTCTTCAAAGCAATAAACACTAAAACAGTCAAACTGGAGGGATAAATCTGCAAAGTGACTGAAAGAATTGACTAACTTGTATTAGAGTTTTATAATATTTTGTTTGTTTGTTTGGTTTTTCCAGATAGGGTTTCTTTGTAGCTGTGGAGCCTGTCCTGGAACTCACTTTGTACACAAGGCTGGCCTTGAACTCACAGAGATCTGCCTGCCTCTGCTTCCCAAGTGCTGGGATTAAAGGCATATGCACTACCGCTGCCTGGCTACAGTTTTATAATATTTTACATAGTTAAATTTTCCCTTTCCAGATTATCTTTTAAGGAAACTGATGGCCAGAGATAAAGGGGTTCTTCTGAGTAAATGCAAACACCTTCAATGCATGTATTTTCGAATCCTACGGGCTTGCTAGACAAGCAGTCAGGTAAAAGAATGCTTTAAAAACTCTCACCTCTTCAAACCAGTGGCAGTGAGTCCAAAAAAAGTGTCTAAGCAGCTCCCAAACACAGTAACGACACACAATCTGCTGGATTCCGCGACTTTTAAGGACAGTCTGTATCTGTAACTGGCACTTTCAGCTTCACCACTGGAGCCACACTTGGGACAAGTAAACCTAGAAAAGTTGGGGAGACAGCAAAGAGTTGTCCAAATTTAGGGTGATAGTTTGCATATCAATAGTGAATTTCATTCTTAAACTATTTACAATCAACACCTTTTTTTGTTTTCCTCTTTCCCAAGGCAGGGTCTTGTGTGACAAAACTGGCCCCAGACTGTTACATAGATCCTTGACTCCTCCCTCCAGGAAGAGAGGACTACAGTCATGCACAAACATATGGCTAGGTTGATGAACTTTATAGATTTTAGTACCACCAAACTGAAAGAAACTGATGGGAAACAGTGTAACAAAAATAATAACCTTGAAATATTATACACCAAGAATTTACTTGTAAGACAGGTGGTGGTGGCAGACACCTTTAATCCCAGCACTTGGGAAGCAGAGTTCGAGGCTGGCCTGGTCGACAAAGCAAGTTTCAGGATAGCCAGGGATACACTGAGACCCTGTCTTGAAGAATTAAATAAAATTTCTTTAAAGAAGTTACTTGTATTCTTCTTAATGTCTTGAAATTTATTAGTTTCTAAAAGATTTATTTTTCAATATGTGTATGTGTCTGCATGTGTATATAGGCATACAAGTGACCTCTGAGTATAGAGGTATTGGATGTTCTGGGGCTAGAGTCATAATCTCTCCAACCTCTAAAAATTACTTTAATTCACCAGGATATGTTACGATCATTAGATTATTATTAGATTATAAAAACTAGATCAAAGGCACACAAGTTAACTTGTCAAGATAATAAGATAATTTAATGTAATTGTAACCAAAGGGTACTTAAAAACTCTTGTTCTATATGGCTTGGGCTTGGGTTAGTTACTAGATGCCTGGAATCCTGAGGACTGGATCTGTAACCTCCAACGCATAGGAAAGACAAAACAAAATCAAGCAAACACCATGGCACAAATCTATCAAGCTAAAGTGTCAGTCTGCTTCTTTTTGCAGTGAGTACACTGTATTTTCCTCAGGAATCCTTGCTGTGTCTGTGCTGGGCAATTCCTCATCATTGAGCTATAGGCCCAGGTGGTATTTTCCTGCTCTTGTCTGTAATCTTACAGCTGTGATCTTCATTTTTCTTGTTTTTCTAAACAACCCTTTAAAACATGGTAATGGGAGATACTAGGATCTTACTTTCCCATGCTGCTAATAATTTGGCTTAGAGAGTGGCAAAGCAGAAACAGAAATCAATGTTAGCTATCATTTGACTATTGCCAACAAGCAACATGATTCAGTGAAATGATTCAACACATCATAAATACTATTAGCATAGGCTAATTATTATTGCCTTTTATGGGCAACATTGAAGATGAATCTGTAAGAATCCATTCATATAATCTCATTCAAATGTGCTAGTGTGTACTGTAAGATGGCCATAGAATAAAGAAAACTGACTCACTAGAACATAGCCCGTTTTTATTAGTTCCAAGGTGTAATAAAGTGAACTGTTTCAAATAAACACAATAAATCTTTTAGAGTTATAAAGTAATAATGCATTTATATATAGTGAGAATTACTAGCAAATCTTAAAATAATTAATACGCATCAATATTTTGTATCTATAAAAGTTTCTAAGACATGTGTTTACCTTCTGTACAAATGGAAAAACTAGTTTGGATTTTTGCAGAAGGTGGCAGTGAATTTGGTTTCCTATTCTGAACTTCCTGATTTTCATTTTTATCATAACTATAAAAAATATGATGACAAATAGAACAGCACTGATAGCTTGACAACCCAGGCCTATTTGTTTTACTGCAAGGATATACTATATTATATGCATACTTTTATAAAACAAATATATCGAAGATATTTATTTATATAGTTCTTAATCTTTGAAATAAATGTTAATATGGTTAATATAGATTAGCACCTCTCACACTTAAACAGCATACCAATCACCCAAGGATCCTGTTAAAATTAAAATACTCATTCTGCAGGCCTGTGACAAGACTCCTAATTCTATACTTCTAATAAGCGCCCATGTGAAACTGACAGAAAAGCAAGGGCATAGAAAATATATTCCTGCCGGGCAGTGGTTGCGCACGCCTTTAATCCCAGCACTTGGGAGGCAGAGGCAGGCGGATCTCTGTGAGTTCAGGCAGCCTGGTCTACAAGAGCTAGTTCCAGGACAGGCAGCACCAAAGCTACAGAGAAATCTTGTCTCAAAAAAAATTCCAAACAGAGACTCCTGACAAGCTGAGCTGCCTAGAAGACTCTCAGACCAACTGATCTACCTGGAAAGGATTCTCTCCAAATTGTTGAACTGCCTACAGGTTGTGCAGTGAGCCCCATGTTTCCGGTTATCACGAGAAGTCATCCATGCTGGGGTGGGCCTTGGTTATGCAGTTGTCTTTGAGTCATTTCTGCTCCTGTACCCAAATTCCTGTAAGTAACCCCAGTAAAACCATGGCTGTTCACCAGCTGGACTTTGATGGTGTCCATATGTGGGGTGAGAAGACATTTGTTTGGGTATCCCCAGTAATAGTGCCTTATAACAAGCTATGATTCTCATTTTCAGTTAGGGAAAGGAATTTATGAGTGTTAAGAAAGAGCCTTAGACTAAAGCAATTATTTATCGGTCCTATTAAGTTACTCAGGAGACAATTTGCATGTTTGAGTTGGGTACATATTATATCTATCATATATAGCATAGACAGCCTATGTGGATAAATCTTACTTATAGTTTTTGGCACAATATATTTTACATATATTTTATGCTAAGAGTGCATTATACACTTCGTAGTTAAGAATAAAGAACTTAAGTGACTTAATGTCCTTAAATCCCAGGATTGCAGGGCTTGTTACTTGCTCAGGGAAACACACTGGAGATGTTTGATCCCACAGCCACTGGGTTCAGTCTTTTCTCAACTACTACGCCTTCGAATTCATCTGCATTAAATTTTGTGCAGCTCCACTTCTTTAAGGTCTTCTGGTGGCCAGGGAACTTGAACTTGGTTCCACACAGGGCCTCAATCACCTGTTCCTTATTCTTCAACTTGGTGTGGATACACGTGAGGACCTGGGCAGTCACTGTGCCCAAGGCTTCCCAAAGGCACCCAACACGCCGTTCTGGAGGCTAGACTGGAGAAAGCACTGAGATAAGAGACCTGACTGTGCACTGTAAAATTGTCTTCCAGGGTCCTTAGGGAAGCTCTAGCGAGCAACAGCTGCAGAGACTCCCAAGGTCGCTGCCGTTTACAGTCAGTAAATGTTAGGTCCCTGAAAAGAACACTTTTATATTGGTGAGATAAGAGTCTTTCACTGACCCTACCTACTGCAGTTGTCACTGCTAAGGATTTGCAGTAAAAACAGGACCTATAGAGGTTAGGTAGGGGACTCACCACAAACTTGGCTAAAGTAGTGGGGCAATGGAAAGGAAGAATCTCTGTTTTCTATGTTGGTTCACTTCCAGTAAGAAAAAAGGAGAGCAGAAGCAAAAAGGTCAAGCATCAGCACTGAGTTTTGTGGTATTGTTAGTGTAATATGAATAGGTACACTGTTACTTTCTAGGGATTCAGTTTCCACAGGAAAGAACCGTGCGCTTTGGGGTTTTATGCATCTAGCTGGAGCTCTTTTCCTACGGATTTTTAAGAATTTCAAATCCAACTTTTCGCTTCTATTCTACAATGATAGGTGGTATATCTGGGGTTCTCAAATATACTCGGTACCATGATTTTATCATGATAATCAGATGTAGCCAAACAGCCTTATTGTCATACAAAAGACTATGAGAATTTGAGCACATCTAACCTGAAATTCTGAACTTCAGAGTACTTGCAAAAGTTTCTGAGCACTGACATGACTTAAAACACTGTAGACTTTGAAAACAGGGGTAGCAATACAGAACTGTGAATTCCACAGCAGTTTGGGCTGCAGAGACTCACTCACTAATGAGCAAACACACATCCATTTTGGAGCACTTCTTTTTCAGGTTTAGGCCAGGGATATTCAACTAATTAAGTTTATGCAAATAGTCTTAAACCTCCAAAGTTGTGAAATTGGAAACACATCTGTGCCCAAGCATTTTATATAAGTAAATAAGCACGGCACTAGCTACTAAGTTTATTTACTTTACTTAAAAAATAACCTGAGGTGAGGACCATTAAAAAACAAATAAATACTCTTAAACTTGCCCCAGAAACTAGATCAGTACTCAGTTCTATTCTAAGATAGCAGAAGAACCAACCCTGAGAATTCCTGAGAGAATCTGATGCTCTGCACGGTGAACTCAGTCTTTAATTTTACCTCTGGGAGTCAAGGACTATCCGAGAGAAGCACCTCTGACATGATGGATAGATAAAGCTCGAGTTCTGGAGAGCAAGCACCGAGGCAAGGAGGAACCTCCGTCTTCTATTCATGTGTCTGCTGTCCTAGAAAACAAGCATGGGGCTTAATGCAAATGTCAAATCACATGTGAATTATTCTTCTTCTGAAAAACCAATCAGCGATATTATCTTTTGTTTCATTATCAAAGTGAAGGCAGCTAAGTGTCAGTGTACTGGGAGATTAAATCTGGGGCCACACAAATGGTAATCAAGGAGCCTATTACATGATGATGTACTGAAAAACTGAACCACTACTTCAGAGTAAGTAGACATTCTAGTAATTCAGGGGAGACTTCACTTAGCTCATTCATGTTTTTTTATTAAATAAATTTATTCATCTATTTATTTTACATCCTGCCAGTTTCCTCTCCCTCCTCTCTTCCCAGTCCCTCCCCCCAACTCCCCTCTCCTCCCAATCCACTCCTCCTCATTTTCTGTTTAGGAAAGGGCAGGTTTCCCATGGGTACCAACAAAATATGGCGTATCAAATTGCAGTAAGACTAAACACCTCCCCAAGTATTAAGGCTGGGCAAGGAAACCCAGTGAGAGGAATAGGGTCCACATTCGTTACAAAAGATACAGAAGTTTTTAATTGGAAGGGTAGTCCATGAACCTTCTTTCTTCCTCCTCCCTGTGCTTTTGAGGGTTTTCCTATTTTTGTCTAGGCCGGTCTTGAACTCATGGGCTAAAGTGATCCCGAGTAGCTTCAATTACTGGCACAGAAGCTGAAAACTGCTTTAGTAGATTTCACTGAGCAGAGTTTCACAGTTTGGGGGTAGAAAAGGGACTTACAACTAGCAAATAAAAATGTTATAAGGTCTAAGAGATCAAGCTTTAAAAGCAATTCTTGTTTATATAAGCATATCAAAGAAATAAAAGAGCAATTCTCTCTACTTTTATAATTTGACTTTAAATTCTTTCAATTGTACATTGGCTTACCATTTTCCCTCATTGATTAGCTTATGCTAATAAGGTAATAAAATAACTGTCTTCAAATAAAGAACTCTACTGTTCAGAGAGTTAGATCAATTTGTAAAAATGTTTGACCTGTTTCAGAGACTGGCACCAGTAAACTCTGACAATGGAATTCAGTTAGGCACAGCACTTTAGGTACCAACAGAAATGTATTGACTGTGGAAGACTCACATGAGTCCTGTGTCAGGAAAACATTTCCATGAAAATAAGATTTTCCCACTGCTTTTTCCATGGAAGTCTCACTAAGTGTATAAACTACACTTATGGGTAGACCCATGTCCAGACAGCCAACACAAAGTAAAATCAATAATATTTTAGTACCATATTTCTTAGTTAGAGCATTTTTTTTCTTACTGATCTTTTGCTTGTACATTATGGTTTCTAGAATTTTATGGGTTTTGTTTTTGTGGGTCTGTGCTTTTCTTATTTTTAAAATTCTTTTTACTTGCTTGTTTCTTTCTTTCTTTTTTTTTCTCCCACCAATTTCCCTCTTTTATTGGAAAGAGATATTTTTCCCCTCACATAATAAATCCTGATTTTGGTTTCTCCTCCACACCTTCCAGTACCTCCCCTCTCCCACTGCAACCCACCCCCTTTTCTGTTTCTCATTATAAAACAAACAGGCTTCTAAGGGATAATAATACAATAAAATAGAGAAGGCAAAGATTATTGTGGGCCTATGTTTACGGGGGTCCAACACAGAATTTTATAGTCTATATGGACATTCAAATTATTCTTTATGCACCGTGGGTGGTACCATCTGTTTATAGGCAGGTCTGCTCTGTTTAAGAAGAGCAGCTGAATGTGAACCTGGGAGTCAAATATTAAGCAGGGATCTGCCATGGTCTCTGTTTTAGTTCCTGCTTCTAGCTTCCCGCCTTGGCCTCCCTCTGTGATGAACTATAAACTATAAGGCAAATAAACTGCTTCCTCCCCATCAAAACTTTGAGTTTTTTTTTTCCCCCACAGGAATTGTAGATGGATTGGTTTGTAATTTAACTAAGACGCTGTGCTGTATCGTGGGCACATATTTTTCCCTCTGAAGTGCTAGGGTTGGAATCCTGGACCTCCTATGTACTAGGTAAGCACTTTATTACCAAGCTATATTTTCAGTCTCTTCTTGGGAGAGGGCCTCTAAGTTTCCCAAGGATGGAATTTGTGGCTCTCCTGACTCAGCCTCTGAGTAGGTGGGATGACAGATATGTGCCACCAGGCCTGTCTAGATAACACAACTTACCAATACAAGAAAAACAATACAAACATGACATTCTAGAATTAATTTATAAATTATGCAAACATGAATTGCTCACATTTTAAGAAGGTTGGTTGCTGCCTTTTATTTAAGGGTTTATTGCCCTCTAGTGGATCAAATACATACATAAAAACAACAACAAAAAAACTAATTCACAAGTAAATTTAAGAATTAAAATGAACAAGTTCATTTTCTTTTTTATGATTTTTACTGTTGGTGCTTCTTCCCCTGGCAAGCCCAAATGGTAAAGAGATACTTCATTCATTGAGCGAAGGACATACTATTGAAATTCCTCTATTTTTCTTTGTTTTCAGAACCTATTTCCTTCATGATAAGCGTCTCCTATCTTATATCTCTACTACTTTGCATGGGTTATGGTGAATGCATGCTTGATGAAGTATCAGGACTGAGTAAGCATTAAAGTTAGGAAAACATTATAGACCTGAGAACAACTTCCTATCTGGCTCATCATATATCTATCAGTCAGAAAACCATGCTGCAACTTCATAAGCTCAATATATTTACTTACTGTAATATATTATACACTTGTTAAATGCCAACTGTTGCTATATGTAGTGAGGGGCAGCCAGACACAGTCCTTTCCTAGTTACTAGATTTATGTTCTAGTGTAAGAGTTGACAGAAAATGATTGACAAGCTATATAAGTGAAATGTACATAATACGTTGAGAAAATTAAAAAAGAGACTGATCAGGTCTTTGCTTGGGGGTGGGATAAAGAGAGAGACAGGATTAGGATAATGTAATTTTTGTTTAGAAAAAAGTATTTTCTGTCAGAGTGATGGTATTAAAAATTCATTAAAATTCTTTATATACCTAAAATATTTTCTAAATGTATAATTTTTGGGAGCATATTTTATTTTTCTTTATATGTCTGTGTTTGTCTCTCTGTGTATTTGTGCACCATCTTCTGGAGCTGGTGCTACAGGTGGCTCTGAGCGGCTGGATGTGGGTTCTGAAAACTGAGCCCAGGTCCTCTATAATAGCAGCAAGGTCTCTTAACAGCTAAGCCATCTCTTCCCTAAATGTATAGCTCTTATAATAAGTAAAATCATAATAAAAAATACTAGGCAGGATACAGCAATAAGACACAAGGAAACATCAGCTTCTCCTAATCTCATACATCTAAGAGTAGAAATAAGGAGACTGGGAGGGAGACAGGAGAAAGTCAGTGACATGGTATACTGAGGAGAACTAATTGTTCCTCTCCTTTGTTTTCCAGTGATTGCCTAGGTCAGTGACCAAGAGGGAAGGCACAGGCACAGTCTTAAAGCTATTTGGGGGAACCATACCACAACCAAGGTTACTTTCTAAGTCTCATAAAAAAGAATGGTAACAGGGGAGCTGGTAAGTTCAGCACTCAAGGTGGAGGCAAGGGATCTCTGTGAGTTCAAAGCCACCCTGGTCTACAGAGCTAGTTCCAGGACTGCCAGAGATTTACAGAACCTGTCTTGGAAAAAAACCAAAACTTAAACTAAACAAAAAAAAAAAAAAAAAAACAAAACCAAACAAAAAACCAGAGAAAGAGGGGGGGGGGAAGAGAGAGAGAGAGAGAGAATAGTAACATGGAAGGGGAAGTGCTATAAACTGTAAACAGAAAGTTACTTAATGAAGGAGAATGAATCAATGTGCAGAGCATCCTCTTCACTCTACAGACTAGTTAGTTCTGTCAACGGCAATGAGGTAGGACAGAGGGGAAATGTGGGGATATAGAAGGGAAAGAAGCCCCTCTAGTTTGTCTTTCTCACTGAGTCCTGAAACTGCAATGCAACTGATAAGCCAAAGTTGCGTATATAAGTATATGTTCCAAAGACTTCACATTTGAGAAAACAGACTGCTGGACCCCAATTTCCAGTTTATTTTCTCATTACTAACTTGTCAGAAGGCAAGCCCATGAAAAACCTTATTCACATAAAAACATTCACTTCAAGGATGGACCTGGAAGAGGCAGAAAGATCCTAAGCATACAACTTCAAGGACCCCACATTTTTCAGACACACCAGGGCCAACAGACACAAGAGCTCAGAGAGTGTGACAGCCCACACAAGACCTGCACAGGCTCAACACAGACAAAACTCCCAGCATGGGAGAGGAGAGCGGACAGTGGCCAGAGGAAATCACTTTTCTTCAGTGGAGCGACTATGTGTATACAAGCAGACACCACGGCAAGGCTAATACTCAGAAGGAGATGGCCAATGCAAATGGAATGCTTTTTTTTTTTTTTTTTTAAAGAGAGAGAAAGAGCATAAAGATAGGCAGGCAGAAAACTGGGGGAGAAGCTGGGGAAGGGGAAAGAATATGATCAAAATAAATGATATGAAATTCTTAAAAAATTAAATAAACATAAAAATGTTAGAAAAAGAAAAAAAATGTGGATCCTATCTTAAGGTTTTTAATTTAGTCGGGTTCATAATTTCTTTTGAATGCGTTCTTGTGTGCAAAGTCTTTACATCATTATTAAATTCTCTGATCTACCCAGAGAATTTAAAAGACCAACTAAAAGTCAGGATGCTGTGTAGGAGAGATGGCTCATTCCTTATGAGCACTGGTCTTTCTTCCAGAGGACCTGGGTTTGATTCCCAGCACGTGCATGGCAGCTCACCACTGTCTGTTAATAACTAGAGTTAACAGACATTCATCGCACTTTTCTGGCTGCCATAGGAACCAGGAGTGCACACACTGCACAGGCACCGTGAAGATAGGACGCAGGTGGATCATGTCTGGATGTCCTGTCTTCTGACAGGTAGGTCACAGTCTCTCCAGTCCTCGGGACTGTTTCTCAGCACCATATATGTAACAAGCCATCTTTTTCAGACCTCTGAAAGGACACACTCACCCCTGTAGGAAGTCAATCCTCCATTCTAGGGAAGAGAAAGAGGGGGTAGGCTGTCTTCCCTTTCCTTACTCCTTCCGCTTTTCATGTTGATTCAGGGTACTGCTCAGTGGTCGAGCAAACCTAAACACAAAAATACAAAAAAGACACAAGCCATTGCCACCCAAAACCTAGAAGAAAATCTTCCATGCCCTGTGAGATAACCCTAGACTTCTAATTTCCTGTTTTACAGCCCCAGAGGCCTCACTGTAGAAAGAGAAATTTGAATAGTTTTCTTAACACCTATGATCTCCTTCAAGGACACATACAAGATCTAACTTTTCAAAAGGCAGTCAGAAGGAGTTCAGAGCCAGCCTTTGGCATGAAATGCTGTTACCCCAACTCAAAACAAAACAAAACAAAAAAACCAAAGCTAAACAAAAACCTTTGCAAACTAAGAAATAACAAATGAGTCCGAACAAGCCTGGGGTGTGGATGGGAATAAGCAAACGTCTGGAGGGTTGGGGAGAATCCAGTGACGTGGCATGAACGGACTGTGATGTTCCGGGTTTGCTCTCCCACACCGAGAGGTGTGTGTCGGTATGGATGGCAAAATCTAGCGCTGAAGGTGGCGAGGCAAGCAAGGCCAAAGGGTTTCTAACATAAGGAATTTGGACTTAAAACATCGGAGGAAACAGGAGCATTTCAAATAATTTAAACGGGGATTATCTTGGTCAAAATTTTCACCTATTTCCCTGGCCATTCGGGGAATGGATAAGCTGGGGAAACGGTTGGAAGCCGACTGTCACAGCTCGTCAACGGGGACAGCTTCGATTACGTTAAGGGCAGCTCTGGGGAGAGCAGGATTTCAGATGAGATACGAGAGACCAAGGAGTCTGGAAATCTTTCAGTGTCTGGATGGAGCGCTTTACTCCGCTAAACATTATCTCTAGGCAACAAACCAACAAAAATCGGTGCCAGCACGGCTCTGCACGGCAGCCAGCTGACACAGTTTGAATCTCCCCGGAGAAAGTCGAGCCTTTTCCTGTCCGGGCTTCTGGGCCTCTACGGCAACAGTAAAAGTTGCTAAACCTTCTCCAAGGAACACGAAAATGATTGACTTTCCCCTCCAGCCCCGGTTCCGCCCTTTACGGTGACGGAGTCCTGAACAAATTCGTCCCTCAGGGGCCTCTTTCTGCAGCTTCTCACCTGAGGTAAAGGATCGGGACAAGCCCGGGCAACCGTGAAGCGACGCCTGCCCCTCAGCCTCAGCCGCGGACCGACCGCCAGCACTCGAATCTCCCGCGTTCCCTTCCGCCGGAAGTACCGCCTTGACGGAGCTCCCCCGAGAGCCAATCAGAGCAGGGCACCGCGGTGGCCGGCCGCTTCTCCGGCGAGCGCCCCTTGTGGTCAGGCTGCGGGTGGAGACGGCTCTGGAGGGACGTTCTCCCCGGGCTGCTGGAGCTGGAGTTCCTCGGGCGAATGGCGGGGGAGGCCGGGAGGGCGCGAGGCGTGGGAAGGGGCGCCGGCGCCCCTCCGGCGGACGTGGTGCCACGGGGTGGGCAGGAGGGGGCGCTGTCGGCGAGGGAGCCGCCGTCGCGGTCGGCCGGGCGGGGCCTGCAGGGGTTGCTCCGGCTCGGGGGTGGGAGGGGAGGCGTCGTCTGCACGGACGACCCGGCGGGCTTGGAAGGGATGGATGGGGTTGTGCGGGGGAAGCAGAGAATGGGGTGGCCCGAGGACTGAGTCTCCACATGGGGTGGACGCTATGGAGGCGAAGAGCCGGAATAACCTGCAGGAGGACAGAGCGATCTGCAAACTTTCTTCCATTTCCTGCTGCCTGAGAGACCTAGGGACGATCGAGGACTTGTTTCCTGATCGAAGTAGAAATGACAGGGTTGCTGTGCTGGTTGAGCGAGAGGTCACGTGTGTGTGTTGTCCTGCCTAGTGAAGATTGTCAATACATATTCTCTCTCTCTCTCTCTCTCTCTCTCTCTCTCTCTCTCTCTCTCTCTCTCTCTCTCTCTCTCTCTCTCTCCATTATGTAGGATTTGCGGGAACAGTGTGAAGGTGGCTATGTGACTATAAAGGCAGAAATATGGCGTGACCTAGAGAAGCGATAGGGTTCGGGGAGCCATAGATGCGGACGGGCCAAAGCCCTGCGGGATAAAGGCCGACGTAGACGTTGACCGCAGTGGAGGTGGGCGGGGAGGAGAGGGAAGGCGAGTGACCAGGGTAGCGGCGGCGACGCCTGTGGGGGTCAGGAGCTGCCTGGCTTTGGGTGTCCCGGAGGGAGGAGCTAGTCTGCAGCGGGCGGAGCTCCGAGCTGGGCCCGGCTTAGGCTGGGTGCTCTGGCCGGTGGCCCTCTTTCTCTAGCTGCCCAGCCTGAGGCTGCCAGCCTGAGCCATGGGCTGCCGGGCTCTCCTGCTCCTGCCGTTCCTATCACTTGGGGCCGCCACGACGATCCGGTCTGGGCTAAAGACCCTCGGCAGCCTGCACTTGCCAACCAACCCCACATCCGACCCTGCCGTAGCCAATAACTACTCAGTTCTTTACTTCCAACAGAAGGTAAGCGGAGGCTGGGAAGTAGGGGTTCCAAGTCCCAGGTACCAACCGCCCGTACCTTGCTTGGCTGGTAAAACTGAATGGAGACCGCCGCCCACCTCCAAATTCAGACTCTAATGCTTAGGACTTACTTTGGTTTTAGTTCACAGTTTCTGGAGGGTAGCCCTAAGCCCTAATTTAAAATTTATCAATAAAAAATGTTTCCATGTTCCCCAACAAAGACCAAGAGAAATATCTTCCTCCAGTTCTGGAGGTCCGGGTTACATTTAAAAAAAAAAAAAGTCACACTTCACAACCAGCTCTCAGAGGATGCCTTAAGGAATCTAAACTCTTTATTTTTCCTTGGCCAAAACCAAATTATGGAGACTAACCTTGAGTCCAGGTCTCTGAGCCGGAATTCTCTGAACACGAATTCTAATGTACCTAGTTTATAATACCAGGATCGTAAAGCGCCAGCCTGCTTTCTTCACTAAACTGCTCCTCTCAGTTCCAATGTTACCTCTGGAGGTTGAAGGTCTGCATCCACATCTGAGGAGAGTGCCAGGATCAGGTCTCTACTCTTTAGCTTGAGTCCACCGGTTCAAGCCAGGCTTCTCCAGTGCCTTTGTACGTGGCCCACCAGTCTCAGTGTTAAAGTACCTGTGTCCTCTGAAATGACAAGGAACCCTAGATATATTTCCAGGAGTCGCTGTAGGCTTGAATGTGCAAGGCACTGGGGTTAGAAAAAGAATCCAAGAGCCTGAGCTTGGCTTTAGAGATCTCAGCAAGCCCTGGCCTAACTTTGGGATCTGAACAGGTTACAGTTAGTTTCTTGACTTACTGAAGGTTCTAGTGACGGTGAAATGAAGGCGGATAACACTCCCCTAGCAGAGGAGCTGTCTGAAGTTGGCAGGTATCCATCCATGCCTGATGATAGACGGGAAGTTTGAATAGGAGTCTGGGGAAGAGGAACGGCATGGGGTTGTAGAACAGTTTAATTTTGAAGTTAAAAAAAAACCTAGAAATTTGGGTTTATGAAAAAGAAAAACTATTGTAATTTTAGCAGAGGTAGCACAGTCTTTCTGAGGCAGCTCCTTTAGTCTCCTGCAGTATAGTTCCTCATTTGTACATCGAGAAGGTGGAGTCAAGAGCTTTGCTTCTTATACTTTCCCTGGAGCCTGCTGCTGTGGAGGCTAGTTGGGTCTGGCTGGAATGAAGGCTGTGTTAGGAACCCTGGGAACTCCTCTTTCCCTGCCCCCCACCCTTGAAGTGTTCTGCTTCTATCTGCTTTCTTTATACTGGGATTTAAAAATAAACACATTTTTTTGTTGTTGTTGTTGTTCGTTACTGTAAAAACCAAAATTGTACTCAGGGCCTTTCACCCTTGAACTATCCCTAATCTTTGTACTGGAACTTTTTGAGTGTTTTGTTACACATATGTAACTATAGCATCCAGTTCTTAGCAGAAAAGTTAGGGGGTGGGGTATAGAGCATGTGGTCTCTAAACTCTCTCTGGGAGTAATGCATGGGGGAACGGAAGGGTGGAGGGATAGAGTGATGCTAATTTGTTTTCCTTTGTCCTCTCTCTCTCTCTCTCTCTCTCTCTCTCTCTCTCTCTCTCTCGTGTGTGTGTGTGTGTGTGTGTGTGTTAAGTTACACTAGCGAGTGCACATATGAATCGGGGAGGAGGGGGTCAGGTGTCATGCACCATCACTCCCTGCCTTATCCCCCTGAGACAGGTTCTCTTATTGAACCTGGAAGTTTAGCAGGCTGTTAGTCCCAGCGATCCCCCTGTCTTCACTCATTGGGGTTGCAGGCAAGTGTGGGGCCATGGCTGGCTTTTTATGTGGGTGCTTTGATCTGAACTCGGGTCCCTGTGCTCTCACACCAAATGCTCTTATTCACTGAGCCATCCCCCCATCCTCTCTACTGTTTAATATAATTTAAGACCTTTAAAAGACATTTTCAGCAGTTGGCAAGTATGTTTGACTTTACTCAGTAAAACCTCATCCTGTAGGCTTGAACAGAGTTTATACCGTCAGACACTTTTACTGCCGTGTCTGCTTTATGTGTTGCTGGGAATTAGACTCGGGGCTTTGAGCTTGTCAGTCAAGCACCACTGAGCTACATCTCCACTCCATTTATACTTTTTTGTATGTATAATTGTGTTATATGTACATGTTCGTATGGGTGTGTGCATGTGGTGTATACACCTGTACATATGTGTGGGTGTTTGCAGGAGTTTTCTTCCTCAATTGCTCCCCATCTAACTTTGTGGGACAGGATTTCTCACTGAATTCAGGCTAGCTGGCCCATGAGCTCAAGAGATTTTCCTGTTTCTGCCTCCTAGGCTCTAGGATTATAGACAAAAGGCATGTTTTTTAGAGAGTGTGAATATGGGGGAGATTCAGAACTCAGGCTCTTTACTGATAGCTATCTGTCTGGCCCCCACTTAAACATACAATTTTTTTTAAAGATTTATTATGTATAGTGTTCTGCCTGCATGTACACCTGCACACCAGGAGAGGGCACCAGATTTCACTGTAGATGGTTGTGAGCCACTGTGTAGTTGCTGGGAATTGAACTCAGGACCTCTGAAAGAGCAGCCAGTGCTCTTAACCTCTGAGCCATCTCTCCAGCCACTTATAATTCTTAATTAAAGTCCATTTTTTTTTTTGATTTTCAAGACAGGGTTTCTCTGTAGTTTTTGGTGCCTGTCCTGGAACTAGCTCTTGTAGACCAGGCTGGCCTCGAACTCACAGAGATCTGCCTGCCTCTGCCTCCCGAGTGCATGCTCCACCACTGCCTGGCTAAAAGTGTATTTTTAAAAGTAGAACAAGGCTACAAGGCAGTATGTCATTCTAGGTGTAGGTGGCAAAAGATGTCTTAGCAAGCAAGGCAGAGGTGTAAATAGGAGTAGAATCAAGGGTCACCTGACCCCCAGCACAAGAAACAGCTTCTTTCTGCCAGATTTCTTAATTTTGCCTGTGCCCAGAATGGCGTCTTTTGTTTTTATCTCCTCGAATTTCTTCTTCTTACTTCTGCTCGAGTACTTTATCCATCTGGTTGCTCAGTCATTGGCCTAACTCAGGACTGTTGTGATTATGTCTCTTCTGGAGCCTGCTGGTCATCTGCACCCAGCTGTATTCCCCTTAACTGTCGGCCAGCATTTCTGTAAGTCTGCCTCTCATTCCAGCGTGGGCCTCATGACCACTGGCTCCTGCAGGCCCTCCCCAGCTCCTTCCTTATTTGTGGGGTGAACACATCAGTGGGCTGGGTTTTTTTTGACTTACGTACATCATTTCAGTTCTGCTTTCTGTTCCTGTTTGCGGTTCCCCTTCTTAACTTTTGCCCCAGATACCCATGTCCACTAAAATGCAGCTGTCGGGAGCTGCTTGCAAGAGGATATGGATAATTATCTTTTCCCTCTTCTTTCCCCTCGTTTTTGGTTTCTGTTGCCGACCTTAGGCCTGGAGCACAGCTACTGTTGTATGAATTGTTAACTGTTGCTATGTTTGACGATGGAGTTTCTGGATGGAGTGTTGGCGTTCATGGAGCTGGCCTCTTAGGGATGATGTGCTTGATCTACGTGTTGGAGGGCAGGGAGCTGGGTGGAAGTTAAACATGGTAATAATTAGCAGCACAAGCTCTAGAGACAAACAGCTTTGGAACGAATTCTGGTTTTGCCCTGAGTAAACTGATGAGCTGCTCGGAGGTAGCCCCTCTCATATCGTTAGCAAGTGGTAATAACTGTACTGCACAGCTCACGGGTTTGTTAGGAATGTGCTGATGTGTGCACACTCTAGCATGCAAAGTGCTTTTCTAGCAGTGCGAACCACTGGCCAGTCAGTAACAGCTAAGCAATAATTATTTTTATCTTTCTGTTGCTTAGTGCTTTAATTTACTTCTTTCCACCAAGAATAATATATTTAACAATTCTTTATAGCTAAAACTGTTATTCTGGTAAATGTGAAGATCTCTTTGAGCCTTTTCTATTGCATTTTATTTGAAACTCTTGTTTTATAAGCTTACAGGATTGTAGCAAAGGGATTAATGCTTTACTTTCTTGAAGTAATTTGTCTCTCAGGTAGACATGTAAAAAGAATACCAAACTATTTCTGTTTTTTTTTTTCTCTATGCTATTTTGAGTTTTGGCAAAATGTGAAGGGAAAATTTGGTAATGGACATTGTTAGAATGACCTTTTATTAATCAGGCTACTAAAATGGTAATTCTTTCTAGTAGCTGAGTGCCTACTGTTTTACCAGCTAATATTAAAATGTGAATGAATGAGATGAATGTAATTTATGCCCTGGCAATGCTGACGCATGCGTGAGCACCCTGTAAATGGCGGTTCTGTTTCATGGTCTAAGTTAATGAGGACAACTCTTCCTCAAGAGGGTACCAGATCTCATTACAGATGGTTGTGAGCCACCATGTGGTTGCTGGGAATTGAACTCAGGACCTTTGGAAGAGCAGGCAGTGCTCTTGACCGCTGAGCCATCTTTCCAGCCCATGCTAAAATGCTACTAAATACAAATCAACTTTAGGGTTTTAACTGTTGGCACATTTTGTGCTCTATGGGGTTTAGACACAGAACACTTCAGCCCTTCCACTAACTTGTGACCTGGTCTTGGCCAGTTTCTTAACTCTCTCAACTATCCTTTACTAACCTTTGGGATGAGGTTGGCTGTGCCCACCGAGTGCCTCTAGCCTCGGTGCTCTGCATGAGGACAGCAGGGTGGCACAGGTTCTGGGTTTAGCCGTAATGTTCATTGCCCTTGGTGAGTTGCTCCTAGGCAGTATTTTCATCCTGACTTTGAAGGAGATATAAATACAACTACAAAGTACATTTCAATTCAACATTTGTCATTTCTACTACTGTATATTTGTGGCTTCTGTTTGCTTGGTTGTAGGCCAGTTGAAGAAGAAAGAGCATCAGTAAGGAAAAGTCCTCACGGTATGTCTTATTTATCTTGGCTTCTAATGCCTTGTACAGTGCTACCACATGGTAGGTAGGCGTTTG